CTGTGTCACTATTGGCGAGGGTGGGAGAAGTTCTGTTTTTCAAGTATCTTAAAGTTTTTCAGAACATTTTAATATTTTGCCGAAAAATATATCAAAAAACATTTCTAGTGTGGCGTGGACCATATCTTCCTCCTCCTCAGATAAGAGACAGAAAACTGAATAATTTATTTCAATCCATAATCTGTAGCAAACTTTTGAACTCACGACCCCATCATATAATCTGCTCATTAGGATTTTCTGGTCTAAGGTACAAGTCTTTTCTCCCACCGAGCTGTTCTTTAGGACTGACCTATCAAAGATGATTCCCTCTGTCTATCACCTGAGCTCTGGGGTCTCCAGTTTCGGTATGCATTAAAAGGGACCAAGTGACAGTCACTTTGGCCCAGGATTCCCCTCTCTGGTGAGTGACTTCACTACGTGGGCAGGGCTCAGTTTTGTTTAGAAATTCCATCACAGACTTTCTTGATGAAACTTGTATCAGACTTAGCAGAGGCTTGTGAATAGTTTTTTGATCTCAAGGAATTAGTGATGGTTGATGAAAGAACATTGTCTCAAGAGAGTACTTAACTAGCTGTAGTGGTGTTGTGTTCAATAGGTAGTCTGGCTATAATTAAAAATATCTCTGCTTTCTGTGAACCTCACCTGTCAGGTAGTAGGCTGTCACGGTAGAAATAACATATTAATCAGGTACAGCTGTCAGTATCAAACTGTTTAGCAGTTAATATCAAGAGTAAAACAGGGATAAATATTCCATCCTTGGTAATCTGTAATGCTGTTAGAAATATTTTTTAAAAATTTGTAATGTATATTCTAAGTATTTTTTTCCTCACCTGGCCCAGTGGTATAAGAATGATTCTTGGAGGAAACGATTGAGTTGTACTGTTGAAAATATGTGGGGAATCATAGACATAAAGCTTTGAAAATTAATGTGGAGGCTATAGCCATATAGCTTTGCAGACTTTACACAGGTTGAAGGAACTTGCCCCAGGTATTCAGACAGTATCTGTGCTTTGCATGTTAATTGAAGCTGACTGGTATCCAGACTGTGGTGGTGTTAATCTTCTCTGCAGTGATATGTAATGCTATTTTTAAAAAAAAAATCAACAGCATAAAAGCAAGCCCTCTAGCTAAGGAGATAAATATTTGTACACAGATACTGTTTTATTTATAACAGGGAGGAGAATGCTTGGAGCAGTTACTCAGAAATTTTACATTTCAAGAACCCACTGAAAACAGCTTCACTTTTTCCTGTTATTCAGTTTGGATCTAGAGTGGCTTTGGGTCTTTGAGCTGTGTAACTTTCATGGACTGAGTTCAGCTGCCCAGTTTCTAGTCATTCGCTTCCTATCTCCCTCAATCTTACAATAGCTAGTACTTTAGGGAAAGAGTGAAGAGCAGGAGTGGGGCTGTGGAGCAGCACACACTTTGGATAACCTCTCACCTTCACTGAGGGCCCAACCTGCCTTCTGTACACAAAGGTGTTGCTCTGATGAATTCAGTGGGGTTGTTTGCAGATACTCTCAGGGGTTTTTATGGTGAATGCATACAGATATTTTCCTTGGAAGGGCAGTGTAGGAGGCCGTATTCTGGAACTGGCCCTTTTCCACAATTCTACATCTACTTGAACTCCCTGTGGGGCCCAAGGAAGTTGAAATGCATAGCATTGCTCCGGACTAGGCTTTCCCTTTGGGCAGTTAAGGGATTATTCTAAGGACTAAAATGTGAAATAACTATGAGAGGAACGAAGGCTCTCAGACTTTTTCCATGATATTTGGCACATGTTCACAGAGAATTTGCAGACTGGAGGAATAGCTTCCCTTGGATATCTCATTAAGAAAGGCATTAACGGTATCTTAATATAATTAAACAAGCAGATTTAGAACTAATATTGTGCGATTAACCAGTTCTTTGTAACTGCTGCGCTGATGACTGTAATCTGAGAAACTTTTGGCTGACCTACAGCCTGGCTCACTTGTGCCATGCGCCATGGTCTTAAGACAGCTTAGTATTAGAAATGGCTAACACCTCCCTTCTGGCCTGGGATCTCCTTATGCACAGGAATTGGCTGCTTCTCCTACAACCAGACCCATGGACTTCAGTGGAACTAGGTCTGGTAGATCTATGCAAATTTTTAGTTTTGAACTTGAAAATGAGACAAAAAAAACCCAAACAATGAAAATTTGGGGTTTGATCAGTCTATAATGAACTTTTTAAAACAACAGAACAAAACATGCTTTGGTTGAAAAAAGTGTTTTGTTCATACAAAGCAGACAGTTACAATAAAAGTGAAGGAGAATATGAACTGAGTTCCTTAAATTGATTACAATAATTATATTAGCCTGACAGACTCATGGCACATGTGACTGAACCCTACTTGCTGCAATGACTATCCTATGGGGTAAAGATGGCAGGTCAGCTTCTTGCTCTCTGCTTCTGTTGCTTTAATAGAAGCTCTGGAAAAAAAAATGTTAAAGGTTTGTGGTAATGTTTTTATTTCAGTCAAAATGGTTTGGTGAATTTGATTGAAATCCAAAATTATTTCAGCCACCTTGAAACAGAATTATTCAGCTAATAAATTTGCCTGGATGTCCTTCAGTGGGACAGCCTGGCCTTAACTTTATGATTGCATTTAGGACTATTTAAAAAAAATAGAGATGCATTAAAGACAAACTTATCACCAGGCTCTTACTTAGTAAAGGTAACTGGCAGCAGCTGCTGTGACTCAGTGAATCAGAAATAGTTATAGATAACGTACGGTAAGACAAAAAGCGTAATTTTTTTTTTTTTCACATGAGAGTGGCTGATTGTGTGACAAGGTTTTATTATAACAACTGTACTTCTGTTTTTTTTCAAATGATTGATGCATGCAGTACTCTGCATAGTCTTCTTTGATGATAAATGTTGGTGCCATGGAGCAACTGTTACTCACTGTGCTATTATTGAACATGAATTTTGAATAACTTGTGGCATAGAGCTGCCAGGTACTTAAATCAATGAAATAAAAGTCAGGAGGAGCCAAAGATAATGTTCCTTCTGCAATATTGACTCCTGTGGCTTGTGTACAAACAATGTTTCTGGTAACTAGTTAAGGGGTCACGTCTCTGGCCTCCCCACACACAGGATGAAGGAAGTAGGAGGCATATGAACCAGTGCTTAGTGTTTGGACAAGAAAGTTGTTTTTTTTTTTTTTTTCTTTTCCTCCCCGCTCTGCTCATCAAGCACAATGTGTTGCTGCTCACACTTGGTGGTGCAGTTACACAGAAGAGGTCTATGAGAGCACTGAGCCATGTTTCTTCTTCTGTGTGGCTGTGGTTGCTCCATGGATTCCCCAAGCTGGGTTCCAGAATTGTAGGGAAACGTACTGGTATAGCTGAATGTTCTCCACCTGTGTTACAGAGATGAGAAGAGTTGTCTTCAGTGTATTTGTACATCACTGACCTTCCTGTCTTTATTCTCACATCAGGAATGAAGTATTGAACAATACTTTTGGTTTTCAATCACCAACAAACAGAGGAGTTAATCCTTCAGGAGATGGAGGGTCCACTTCTTGCTCAAGATTCTTTGTAAAGCTAAATATCTAGCTGTGTGTCAGCAGTACCACTGTCAGTAGGAGTGGACTTTATGTGACCCAGCCAGAGGAACAATCGATAATCTTTATGATTTCTGTTCTCTGCAGTCTCACTGTTTATGTGGGGAAAGGCGGGGCAAGGAACCCCAGGTGGAAGGAGATGCTGGTGCAGCGCACACGAGCAGACTGACTGCTCCTCAGCTCTGCCATGAAATACAGCCCCATGGAGACTTGATTTCTCCTGAAAGCACCGATGCCACAGGGTCATTGTGATAGCAAGGGAGTACAAATACTCACTTCATTTTAAGGATTTTATGCACATGTCTGCTGCAGGAGGTTGGGCTCCCACTACGGTTAATGAAGTGAGATCAGGCACCTATATTAGGCTCTATCTCTGAATTACCTTGTGGAAAAGCTTATTTTTCTTCATGGAAAGTCTCCTAAGTAGAAGACAAATTTTAGATGACATGACTACTCCTCCATGTTTTTTGCATCTTGAACAGGACAAATTAGCAACTTGTGATTTCTGTTGCACTGTTAAATGTATATTTGAATGTTTATTTAACTGCTTTTTAACAAGAATGAAGACATTCACAAAAAATTTTTAACATGTCAAATCTTTATCCCATTGTCCCTTTAAAGGAATGATAATTTTCTTCTTCTAATTGTAAGCTTGTATATTCTTGCATTATTTAAAATAATTAGATTTTACTCTTTACTTTTACGTTTTCTTCTCCCCTTTCTTTCCTTTTTTGTTTTTATAATTTTCCACAGAAAGTAGAGTGAAGGAGAGGAAAAGACAAAAGAATATTGCACAAATACGTTAATTCTCTTTGAAACAGAATACTTTTTCTGCACAAATTTTTGTTTTCAGGAAGGCTGTTCCCCCTCATCATAACAATAACCTGATTAAAAAAAAAAAAAAATCCTTGAGTTCTGTTTAATTCAGATGAGGTAGTCTAATGGTGACCTATTTTCTAACCTTGTATAGTATTTCTGCAACAGTATTTCTAAGTATACTCCGATACAATTTGGATATGTGTACACCAATCATCATAAATGTCTGATATTTGTGAACAGATACTGTTCAAGAAGTTCATTCCTTTTTTATGGCTGGAATGAAGTTGCCATCTCTTAGCTCCTCTGTTAAATTCCAAGTGACTTCTACTTTAACTTATTTCAGTGTGAGTAGGGGACAGTCATACCTTGCTGACTTATTTCAGCCTAAATGTGCTGTTTGCCTGACATAATTGTGACTGATCTTTGAAAAGTCTTTTTTTTTATTTCTTGTATATGCCTCAAAGAACGTTGTAGACTTCCAAAAGTTTTCGCCTGCTAATCACGTATGCTGGATCTCATGCTGCATCCAGTTTTGAACTGACACTCTCAAATCTATTTGTACTAATGCAGTTTCTGTTTTCCATTTCTCTAGATTGCGGTCTTTGGTAAAGCAGTTAGAGAGAGGAGAAGCTTCAGTTGTAGACCTAAAGAAGAATTTGGAATATGCCGCGACCGTTCTTGAGTCAGTATATATTGACGAAACTAGGTGAGTTAACTACAGACATCAGCAGTCTTCTCATATCTAATACCATTGACACAAAACTGTAATTTACACATCAGTTGGGAAAGTTGTTTTAGCCAAGATTTATTACACACAGACAATATGTTTTTAATCATTAAAATATTGTATTCTGTGAGAACAGACCTTCAATCATTGGTCTAAAAGCTTCTTTATGTTTCCTGGGGCAGAGGGGGAGATTTAAAAAAATCATAAATTTAATATATATTCTCTTGGAGAAATGTTTTCATAATTGTGTCCCATTTTTTCTGAAAGTTTCTAAATTCCTACTCTGCTATTCCTTTTGAATAGTGTTAAAACTTTTCACTTATATCAAACCTTTGAAATTAAAAAAAAAAAATTTACTCCAGGTCATGATAGATATAGACTGGTAAGATATGGCAGAGGAGTTCCCCTCTCCAATGCTCTACAAGTGCACTTGTAGAGTCAGCTCAGATGACCAGAATGGGAGAGGACTGTATGATACTAACTGGAAGTTAGATGTGGCCGTAAATGAGCTCTGAAGGGCAGAAAAGTCAAGATTATTGACAAGCTGAAGATGAGAATGGATGATTATGTAGTTGTGCTTCAGAAGGCTGATACTTCTTATTTGCTGGCCTAGTATTAAGTTTCACAGTCTGACATTGAACTATAAAAAAGAATAAACAATCTGTTGAGAACTTGTACAATTGTGTTCCTTTAGGGCTGTTGAACCAAAGACTTTTAAAAACTTATTTAATTAGAATATATGCGAGTTTCTTTTTTGTTAATAATGTTGCAGTGCTCTCCAAGGGAGTCTGTTTACCCATCTTTTCCCTCCCCTTTCTAGGCGTTTACTGGACACAGAAGATGAGCTCAGTGACATCCAGTCTGACTCTGTGCCCTCAGAGGTTCGGGACTGGTTGGCTTCTACCTTCACACGGCAAATGGGGATGATGCTTAAAAGGACAGAGGAAAAACCCCGGTTTAGGAGTATTGTCCATGCAGTACAAGCTGGAATATTTGTGGAAAGGTAAAGGAACATGTAATTACTTTGTTCTAGTAGCTGCCCAGGTACTGCAGATTGCACCTTTAGTATGGGATGATGCAATGACAGGTGATGGAGGAGAGTACCTAAGGCCAGAAGACCTTGGCAAACTAGGACATGACTCTACTGAATGAAGAATACTTTAATATGCTTCAGATGATATTTCTACACAGATCTGGATAGCACCTCAAAACCTGGGATGAAGTAATAAATTGCAAACCAGTACATAATAAAGTGAAAACAGCACGTATTAATCTGTTCTTAGCATAATACAAATGCAATAGTGCAGTTGGAATAATTTTGACGGAGAATATGCACTTCCGCATAGCCCTAGGTCACGAGTAACAGCTTCTAAAATTCGGCCAGCCCAGACCAAGCCCTTCCTTGCCTCTGTTTACCTCCATGGTCTAGTATTTCTTATGAAGAACTGCCAAGAAAGGGAATAAAATCCTGTATCATAGTATTATAGGAATGAACTATAGACAGAGACATGTAAAAACTTTGGAGCTCAGGGAGGATTTTAGAAAACCCATTGAGCCCTCTGTCTTTTCTGTTGTGACTTCCGTCAGAACCTACTGCTAAAACTGATTTTACTTTCTGAACCCTTTAAGACATTTAGTCGTTTCAATTTGATCTCACTTCCAATCTCACCTTTTCGAGTAACCACTCTTTGCTGACATTCCTCCTTCAAGCTAGAAGGAGGGCTGGCACATGTGAAACTGTCAACAGACTTTAAGCAGCGTGAAAGGCAGCAGGTCCCAGGTCTCTACAGCAAAATTTGAGTTAGAAATGAATAGCAGATCTCCTTTCACTGTTCATCAGAATTGCAGTGACAGCCTACCAGCCCTCTGTGCAGGTGGGGCGTATCAGACAGTGGACCACAAGCCACACACACAGAGAAGCCTCCTCCGGCATATCTATAGCCAGTTTTTTTTTATTTGTATATCAAAGTTACTGTACATGTGTTAAGAGTGGCAGCAAATTGGGATAAGACTAAACCTGTCGTTTCTCCCTGGAACAGGTTTCTTCTAGGTTTGACAGGCTATTTGTGGATTAACCATCACTCTCAGTGGGGGGCTTACTCAACAAGAAAGTAAATGAAGTGCAAAGAGCTGGCTGCAGGAGGCTGTTTTCCAGTTGATAGGAATCACTGTGGCCCAAAGGAGGAAGAGTTCAGATACAATATGGCACCAGAGGAGGGTTGTGCCTCTCCTGAGCTAAGGGAAAGGGACTATGCCTGAATTGTCACTTAAGAAAAGGCTGTGGAGCTCCTGACTGGAGGGAGGAGGGGATAACAAATTCGGGAATTTGGGGAATGGGTGAATTTAATTCTCCAAAGGGGGCTGACTTTTTTCAGGTCTGAGTGCAGAACATGATGAAGAAAAAGGGAGGTGAAGGAAGACTTCATGCAGGGTCATTCCAGATAGAAGAAAAGAGCTTTCCATCATCTCCTTTTAGTCCTATGTTGCTTAAGTGCAAAAAAGGGTGATCTGCAGAAAGGCGTTTAACCGACAGTGCTTCTGCATTCAGCAAGCGTGGCTTGAAAACAAATTTAAAATCTGGTACATACTTCAGTGCTTGTTTAGTACAGTTGCAGATGTTGGTTATTTCCTTATTCTTTCTCTCTCTCTCCCTCAAACACACACACACAGCCAACACCCAAAAGATTTTATACCAGTCTTAAAAAAATGCAGACCGAAGTAACAGCTGTATCAAACTGGAGTTGATTCATTGCAGACAACAAATGATTTCTGAAGTACATTCAGAATTAACTTGCATGTGAACCAGCAAGGACTAAGGGAACTTAGCAGTATGGTCATCTGAAGTAGAAGATGGGAAGCATCTTGTTTATTTGAGTGTAGGCTTTCCCTCTGATGAAGACCTGATATTGGCAGATTCTCTGTGATATCTTGCCACGTAACTAAGCTATGACATACTGGGGAGTGTTCTTAAGTTAGGATATACAGTAAGAATGACACAGAGAGTATTGTACAAGTAAGGAACAAGAAGGAGGAAAAATAATCAAATTGCAGTTAGGGTTTCCTGAGCTAAATAAATTTTCCTGTAATGGTCTGTTGCTGTATGTTTTTTGTTTGTTTTGTTTTGTTCAATTCTATTTATGAGTTGCCTTATATATTTTATCTTGGTAGAATGTACAGACGGACTTCAAATATGGTCGGTTTGAGCTACCCACCAGCTGTAATTGGAGTGCTAAAGGTAATCCAAATGAAAAGGTGTTGGGGGGTGGTTCTGTACAAAGCATCAAGGTAACAGTGTGATATTTGATTCGATAAGGGGTCTTAGTACTTACCCTTTCTGACATTTAGTTTAGTTGACATACATTAATCATTTGCTGGCCTAAGGGAATATCCCTTCATTATAACAGCATTCAAGGCTGTGACCATTTTCAGTTTGTGAAGGTTACAGCTCTGTTCTAGATTATGGTGATTAAAGTGAGGATTTAGTAACATTCTGGAATCAATCACAGTCTCCCACAGGGAAGAAAGAAAACACAGATCCAGAAAAATGGAGAAGTAAGAGGATCAGTTGCTGTGAGAGGAGAGAATTTCTTGCATTGCTCAGGTTCCGGTCTTCAAGGTGACAGTCAGTTTAGGAATAATGACCCTTTTATGAGTTCTGAGATTTCAGAGGAAAGGAAAAAAAAAAAAAAAAAAAAGGTTCAATCCATGGGGCAATTGCAAGGTTCTTGATTTAGTCAGGGATTATCCAGACTACAAACACAAGTTAGCAACCAGCTTCCTGCACAGCAGCTTTGCAAATTACATGTTGCATGGTGTTCAACCATGCCATGCAATGGTGAAAAAGAGGTGATACAGTGGGGCAATACACAAGAACATTACATGTAAAGCTCATGAAGCAATCCTGCTGCTCTACTCCACACTGGAAAGACCTACACTTAGGATACTGAATCCTTTTTGTTTTGGATAGAACAACTCATCAAAAGATATGGAGGAGTTACAGAAGGTCCACTGAATGCAAGAATGATCAAAGACGCCTTTTGTGTACAGAATCAAAGCATCCATCCACACCTTTTTCCAACTGCAGATTGACAGGTGTTAGCTTCATTCCTGCAAGTGGGACATTAAGTCTTCGTTCTTTTAGAATTACACCCCGTAGCCAGCTTATGAGGGAACATACCTATATCTTCTCCTGAGTTCCTCAGCAGCAGCAAGACAATCCAAGACCAGTCAGCTACTCTCAGCTGTCTTAAACCTTACAGAATCCCTCTCTTCTTTCTATGTTTTTAAATGTTTAAGGGTCATAAAGAGAACTGACCATGCTAGAGTAAGTTCAGACACATCAATAACAACAAAAGCATTGACTAATTTTACTCAGAGTGAAATAACACTCACTCAGCCACTGTGCACTCTAGGATGTATTTTTTTCCAAAGCTGTTCTGAGAACATGTCTTTGCCTGGATGGCCTTGGGTTTGGTTTTGGATGTCATTGAAATGGGAGTTACTTGTTTTGAAGACATCTTCTGTCTTTGAAGTCATACTCCACCTTAAATTTCTCAATCCCCTTTCCTAAATGGAAAATGGTACATTGTTGCTTGCTTCAGCCCAGTAAAGCCAAATTAAAAACCTTGTAGCTACCTAAATGCTTGATGTGCTCTGTAAAATGATCTGATGGCTTCAGCATGCAAAAGGGTCTAGGAGTGTACCACAAACATGTCTTCAGCTGTTCTGGATTGCCATAATCAACATTCCCCTCAGAGTCATGCTAATAAGGACAAGGATTGTGATGACATGGAGGCAAAACTAGCTTATTTTTGAACGATGTTCTTTCTTTTTGCTGCCATGGCCAACAGGTCATCTGCACCAAGTATCCCAAAGCTGTGGAATCAGCTTGGCAAAATGAGGTTGATTTTAATAAAACAATGAAATACTGCCACTTCTGACATAAATGCAGATGAAGTGGTAGTGGTGCAAGTCCTAGGTATATAATCTCTCTCGCTTTTTCAGTGGATGAGAAGTTAGGCAATCTTTTGAATTGATTGCACAGCATCTCTCTCTATATATATTGGGTACTGATTTTTCTACTGCAGTAGCCTGTTGCCTTTCTGCATGACTTGGCTGTGATGATATAGGACTTGTTGCCACAAAAGGGATGATCAGCCTTGTCTCTCATTTGAATAGTGGCCATACATACCATTCATACAGACATGTTTGAGTAAGTATGTTAATTTACCCAGTAAGTTGTGGTGATGTGTTGCTCAGCAGTGTAGCACTAGAGACAGAACTTCACATTAACTAGCTGCTGAAGTAGTTACCTGCTTTAGAAGTGAATTTTTCAGCCTTTTCTGATGCACATGCTGTCACAAGATTTTCTGGGCTAGCTAATATACAGGTAGTGAACACAGAACCTGTAGTCACTTACAAAGTCTTCAGTACAGATTTTGGCTTGTCTATGGCTACAAAAATGTCAGGCCTTCCAGTAATGTTGAGCAGAACATCTGTCCCTGAATCTGCTTTCTTGGCTTATAAAACAAAACAAATCTCCAAGGTTAAGGACAGACAGAAAGGCAGAAAACTGAGCATTTAGGAAGAACTGGTGTTTCCCTTCATTTCTAGGTTCCCCCAAGCAGTGGAGCAATGGCCAAGTAATAAGGGCACAGGACGAGAAGTAAGACACCTTGGATATTTGCAGTTACACCACAGCAGCTATATGTGGCATTAGAGCAGCTTACAACACTTCAGCTGAGGCTACAGGGCCAGTAACCTAGAGACATGGGTAACACAGAAAATTTCCCAGTTTTTCTCCTCTATCACAAGATGTCTGAAGTTCTGCCTCTCTTTAGATCTCTTCCCAATATAGGGGTCACTTCTGTGTTAAGGATTTTTTTTAAGGTCATAAAATCCACTAATTTTCAAAGCATAACTGGTGTTGCTTCAAGCCTCTAAGCCATCTGTGACACTTTCATGCTTCTGTTAAGAGGATTTTTCCCTGTAGTTATTCAGGGTAAAATGCTGCTGTCATTATTATTAATACCAAAACTTCTGTTGACTTGACAAGAGCAAGGATTTCTCCCTTAGTAAAATCTAAATAGCTCTACTGTGAAACTTATTGTCTAGGTAGTTCACCATTATTTCATACAGAAGAACAATTCTGTTGTGAAAAATACTATTCTGCAGTTTCACAATTTGGTAAGTTTTATCTGCTGCAAGAGCACAACATTAACTACATCAGAAATATATAAAGGAAGAAACCCCTTACATTTCTACAAGATAAGATTGTCTTACAGTGAATTAAATTTCAGCATAGTTAAGACATTATTTTCAATGCCATAGGACCTAAAAGTAAATTATTATATGCTATATACATACAAATGTTTAATTTGCTTCATTGACTGAGATAAATGATTACAAAATCAAACCACTCAGAAACCAGGAAAATACTTAAAATTGACTGAGTGGATGCTTTGGGCAGTATTTTTCTTGCCCATTCTCTAGGTTTGTTCAAGGGCTTCAAAACATGTTCTGCTGGTGGAACTTTTTCCTCTCTTGGTTGTTTTTCCTCTCCAATGCCTACTGAAAGTGTTGAAAAGCTGCAATTTATGACTGCAGCTCTGTGACTTGGGCCACAAATCATCTCTGGAGAAGCTTGACCCTGCTTTCAGTGTGTGGGCTCCAGGCAGCTTGCAATATCAACTGCTGGGCAAGCAAGTGATTTACTGGGATAGGTGAAAGCAGAACTGAATCTTCAGCATCCTTGATACACGCTTACTAATTAGCCTCTCTCTGTGTACCGTACTTCCACAAGAGGCGTAGTCAACTCTCTGTAATCAACACTACGCGAGTGGCAAGGTTGTCAGGATCAGCCCATGCTGAAGAGAGATGGTACCTAAATATGTTGGTCTTGTTCAGAATATAAGTCCTGTAGCTATGCTGATGTATGGGTGATCGACCACAGGCAGTTAGAAGTCACTGTCCTTTGCATTTGACTTGAAGTCATGTCCTTACCTGGAACGTAACCATGACAACAAACAGCAAAGGTGGATTGGGCTTTAAGAGCTCAGAAGATAGTTGTAATTTAGCAATTTTTATTGCTAAAAAAAAAGATGGCAGATTTTTAGATGGACTCTAATCCTTAACAGTACTCAACATTATGTCGAGCCATTTCTTGCACTGAGAGCAGCTGTGCACGTGTGTGTTGTGAAGTGTAGTCATCCTTCTTTCTTGGTAAAAGTGCCACAAGGAAATGTGCAACAGAGTGTCACGTCCCACTCAGACAAGGGGAACAAGTGACTCAGATTCACAAATCCCCAATGGAGTGGACAACAAGTCTCCAAGTTCAAGCATTTATTAACTACCTACAATGTACTAATTGAACACACGATAATTGGCAAAGTATATAGCAAGTTGTGGCAAGCGATACAATATGCCTTGCATTTCTTAATGGAAAAAGGAAAGGAGGGAGATAGAGAGAATGGGGGAATAGAGATCACCAGTCTGGGTTCCTGTGCTGATCCTGCTGGCGAGGGTTCCAGGAGGCGGCCGTCTTTTTCACTGGCATCTGTTTTCTTCACTTCACTGCACTCTCTGGGCTCCTCCCCTCTTTCCTCCCCCTCAATCTATACCCACTTTCCTTGGGTCCATCCCCTAGGTCGACCCACATACCTACGTATCCCATGTACGGGGAGGGGTAAGGTGTTTCATGGGATGATGCAATTAGCATGATCATGTTATCCTTCGTTAGCATATTGAGGGTGTTAACTTTAATATGCATTTCATGGATAATGAAGCAAAGTTAATTCACCGGACACATGGCCCCTGAAATCTGCCCAGGTGCCCCAGAGCAGAGCCATCCTGTCTCCACAGGGCTCCTTCCTCCAGATGCATCTTGTGTTATTGGGGCAGCCTTATCAGCTTCAACCTCCACAGCATGCACACTGTGACTCATAGTTTTGTCTTGCAAGTGTTTGAGGCATTTCTTCGATCAGCCTCAACTTTTGCTTTCCCAGGTTGTTTTTCTTAGTTTCTCACAGGCCTGGTTTCTCATCTCTCACACAGAGTTTTTTCAAAGCAGAGGGAAACTTCAGTGTACAGATGTCAATCTTTAATATGTGGTTTAAGGAGAGTCAGTTGGATAAATTCCTGTGGGAAGTACATCAAAGTTCTCAGCAGACAAGAGAGACTGAGAGCTGGTCCTGTGCCCGATGCAGCTGTGTGGTTGATCTGTATATCATTCTTCTAGCTATAACTTCTTCTGCACCTTTCCTTTTTGTTGCTAGGAGGAGGAAACGTTCTTAGGGTTTTAGGAACATCCATTTCTGAGATCAAGGAGCATTATCTTGCTAGATAATGAGTGCTGTCACCTCCCACAGCCTCCCCTAAGTGTTGAGATTTTAACTCAACCTTCTGTGAGAAGGTTTGTACCTTATGCTTTAGCTTTATGAGCTGGGAAGTGAACATTCCCTTTTCAATCTCTTGAGTGACCACCTTGCAGCATTAATATATCGTTTACAACTGACTGGAACTTTCCAAACTGGAATTAGATATTTTCTGTTATAAGGGTTAGCTTTTATATCATTGTTAGCACTTAATGTAACATTACCGTGATTTTCTCCTGATCTGTAGTCTGATCTGAGAATCCCAGTGGACTCTCTTATCTTTGAAAAAAATTAAGGAAAATTCAAGTCATGCTGTCTTTAGGCAATTTAAGCTGCAATAATCACAATTCAGGATTAATATTAAAATCAGAGGAAGTAAGTTGCTTTTTGGATCTAACAAGTTAGTTCTTCTAGTTAGTTATTATTTTGGTTAATTCAACAGTAAGTGGTAAAAACATGATCACAGGTGTCTGTATTTTTTACTGCAAAAAACATATCACCTTATTCTGTTTTAAGCATGAGTGAAACATTTGAGTGCTTTGCTCACAATATAAAGTCACAAGAATTCTATAGGGACAGCAAAATCCAGAGGCTTTCATATAATTTAAAAGCATAACTTGTTTTCTCCTGTTTCCTTCAAAGTTAATATTCTTTTTTATAGACGTAGTATGTGGCTAGAGGACAGGGTAAAATGGGTCAAGTCAGACACAATAGGGCTATCCCAATGTTTCAGATGCTAAAGAAAAACAGGATTCTTATCTTTTAGGATTCAGCCTTTGCTGATTAAATTCTGCTGTGGAGAACTGCCATGTTTAGAATAAACAAACAGCATAAGTGTTCTTAATGGAAGCTTCTTAAACATGAGTCATACAATACTGATGAGTAAATTAGACTCTACACTCTGCATTGGTTAAATGGAATTGAAGAAGTAAAAAGAAAAAAAAAAAGCTATACGAACTGTCATTGTAAAAGGGATGACCATATTAACTGTCTTTTCTACCCACTCTTGCAGCATGTAGACAAGTGGTCCTTTGATGTATTTGCACTAAATGATGCCAGCGGGGATCATGCACTGAAATTCATTTTCTATGAACTTCTCACCCGCTATGATCTGATCAACCGTTTCAAGGTCAGTAGTTAGAAGATGGGTCTCTTCTTCTGTCTTGGAGTTTGTTCAACTTCCCTCTGATGTGCTTTGTTCCATTCAAAATGCAATTTTAGCGCTATTTGAAGGCTTCATGGACACTGCACCTTCCCCAGTAAACAAGGTCCCTTCCAACCCAAACTATTCTATAATTGTTACAGAGTTTTGCAGGTACAAATGCAATGTATCTTTTCCTCCAGCTTTCAACAGGCTTAAATTTGGATGGCAGAAACATTGCTCTCAGATCTTGATTGTTCTCACCACCAAATACTCTGCTGTCCCTTCCTCCTTTGACACTTCCACTCCCTGGGATCCCCACTTACTTTGTCTGGAAAGGGTTTGCAGATTTCTGGCTCCTGTACTTCTTCAGGAACTGCCTGTGCCTGATGAGAAATGTTTGAAGAAGATAACTGGTCAGAACTGTATCCTCTCATGTTATGTACCCAGGAGAACAGCTTCTCTAACTATGGAAATGAGTGTTTAGGGTATTTGCCATTGGAGCAGATGAAACTGGACAACCCATGTGGCCAGTTGCGTATGTTGCAGCTGACACCACCTGTGTAGTCTCCCCTCTAGAAATCCCCTGAATGGTATTTTCTTGAGTGTGCATAGTTCTACTCTTGGAGTCAGAAAAGCATGGCAAGCCCATAAGATGGGCAGGCTGAATTTCACCATGAAAAGCCAGAGGTCTGATACACGATAGTCATCTTAGTGGAGTATCTCAGACTTGTTATATGATGTGTTTCATTAGAAAATCTTAAATATGAATAGTAAAGCAGAGATATATTCCAGTGGGTTGTGAGGGGAACAGACAGATGCTTTGTGGTCTAATTAGAAATATTTCTCCGGGGGCAATCAATCAAGTGCTCTCTGTTACTTTTCATACTGCATATGTCTTCCAGACAGCATTTCATAGTATACTTACTTGAGTGTGTTTATGTATAAGAATGATTCATCCATAATGTAATTAGGGATGGGAAAGACAGTTTGGGTTCACTCTCTCTTACGTGCCTGTTTCAGATGGTTTAAGCATGTTATTTATTTGTGAAGTACAAACTGCTCTTTGGGACCTGTTATCAAAATGCTTCCCTCCAAGTGCTAGCCATTAAAGGTGATTATCTTGGTTTTAATTCTGTGTTGCTTTATTCAGATCCCCATTTCTGCCCTGGTGTCCTTTGTGGAAGCTCTGGAGGTTGGATACAGCAAACACAAAAATCCTTATCACAACCTAATGCACGCCGCAGATGTGACACAGACAGTCCATTACCTCCTTTTCAAGACGGGCGTAGTGGTAAGTACAGGAGTTGGCATCCTGAATATATAATGAGAATAAAACAGGTTTTGCTCAGTAAGGAGATTATGATTATCCACAGTAGAACCCATTTGAACTGTAGACAGGCTTCAATTGATATGGCTGTGCTAATGTAAGTAGAGACTACAGGATGATTTACAAATAGAAGGTGGGCAAAGATGTCGATAACTCTTTTAAAAGTGATCTAAAAGAGGATGAATGAGAAACCCAAGATCTCCTGGGTGATTCTGCCAACACACTTCTGTGGGAATTCATTTCCCCTAGTGTGAAGAAGCAAACTGTCTAAGCTTTCTTCTTACTTAAGGGAGCAAGGCAGTACCTCCAAAGGACAATTAATTCCGCTTACATGGAGCTATGGAGATGCTGATCTCCATCCAGTGTCTGCAGCAAAACCGGCTGACCTGGCTTACATAGAAACTTACAGACAGCAGAAGTCTGACAACAAGGACAGGAATGGATGGACGGCTTGAATGAAAATACTTAGCGCACAATATGTTCCCACAGTGGTTGTCAAGACAAACAACAGAAATCGTTTTGAAGATGGACCAGAGCAATTGAAGGCAGACAGATTCCAGAGTGGTGATCAGACATTGCGTTTTGGGTTCAGCCGGCAGCTCAGAAAGCGGCCGGCCTGCTCCGTGGGGAGAACAAATGGTAGGGAAGGCTCAGTGTGTACAGGATACATTTGTATGTCATGCTCTGCCTCTTCTTACTCCTGGTTCAGGCTTCAGACAGAAAAAGGAACAAAGGTAACTATTAGTCTGATCCTGTGTGGCTGCTCTTTTCCACCCATTGTTCACTTCACCTTTTCCCAGAGTTTAGTTACCCTCAGCCCTTGCATTGGCAGAAACACAGAGGCAGAGGTGTCAGTGAAAGGGAGGTTCGTGTGCTCAGCATTTTTCACTTCTTTTTCTTGTTACACCATTCACTGGTTTCTCTCTCTGTGGCTGGTACCTGAATACAGGGGATTCTGTTACATGGTGCTTCATTTCACCGAGGTCCTTTCCCTAACAAGTGTGCAGAAGCAGCCAAGTTAAGCACTTCCAGGGGCAGGGAGGCAGAGCACACAAGTGAATCCAGATCAGCAAAGGCTGAGTCTCTCACTGCAGCTTCTACCTGCTTGAACACTCCCTATGGTTCCCACTTTCCCTGCAGGATACAACCAATCTCAATGTGCATAGATTGATTAGCACACTTTGAAAATGATCCCAACCTCCTGCTCACAGCAGAGCTAGATTCTAACTTGCATAGTTCGTTCACAGATGGTAAAGAAAGGTAGGGGAGATTTTCCTGTTTCCAGAATTTGTTCAGATCAACATCTTATCCTTACTCTAGTGTAAGCAGTTGTTTAGTTCATCACCTTCACAATATTTATGTGACCAACTTGGACATGCTGGAAAATAAGTTTTTGGTTTCAAAAGGCATGTTGGGGCCATTGGTTTAATTCTGTACTGGTATGAAGACAAAGACTTGTGAAAAAATCATACTATTAAAAAAAAAAACCACCAACCAAAAAAACCTCATCTTGTTAACTAATTATTCACAGTGTGGAAAAAGTACTTTTCAAATTTAAATAATCTGTATAGTGTTAGTTTGTTCTAGTCTCAAAGGGAAGAAACAATTATCTTGTTTACATTTACATGGTTCATCTGCCTTTGTCATGCTCCCTGTTATTTAGAAGCTCTCTCAACAGATATGTTCCAGGCTTCTTTTTGTTCTCTTTTCAATTAAAAAATCTTCATTCCCTCTAATCATATTCAGTGCCTGAAATCTTTTTTAGTTTTCTTGTTTTTTTCTTCCTCAGGATGATGCCTTGGAATGGATTTGTTATATGTTACAATTATGAGCTAGAAATATTTTGGGTTCTCTCATAGACATAACATTGAAAGATAATTGGGAATTACTCTGATGTTGATCTCTCAGAGGATTAGTATACAAGCACGATGTGTAGGAACAACTTCCAAGAGCTCACACACTTTTTTTCTCATTTCATTCTTTCATTTCTTTAACTCTATTGTTCAGATGTGGTTGTTACTTTCTTCAGTATTATTTTCTGATTAATCTTCATAATTATTAGGAATTACCATATGATTTCTTTGTGAATCCACACAATGAGGTGCAAATGGTGAAGCTGAAGAGTTCTTTCTCTAACACTGGCAGGAGTTACAGGAGAATATTTCCTGAAGCAGACCTGTAAAGCTGGAGAAGTGCAGGACTTCTGTCACATGTTTGTACCAAAGGGGAATGAGATCCTCCTCCCCTCTTGACTATTGGGATTAATAAACCAATCATCATGGGCTCTGACAATGATAACTACTTTGGAATAAAAGACCATAAACTCTGGGGGAGGAAACAAGGTAATTATTGCTGTCTTGGCTTTGTAGCATTTTCTTGGAAAGGCATCCATTTGTTAGGTTTGGAAACACTGCTCTTTCCTCTTGCTTTTTCTTTCTGTATGCGTCAGTCCTTCTACTTACATGCCAATGACTTGCCTTAGTAGCTAATTCTTGAGATTTATTAGATGTTTGTGAAAGAATGACGTCTTGCCTGAAGACTGACATCATGACTGAAGTCATGCCTCTTTACCCCTTTTTTGTTTCCATCTGGAAGCCAATACTTGTTCTTTCATGCCTTCTTCCTTGCTATCCCCTCACCCCCTATTATCACAGAGAGTTTGAAGGTTTTGTTCTGAATTGGTTTTGTCAACCCTTTAGAAATGAAAACCATTTCCATTTCCTCACTCTTTTCACCTGTGACAGTATCCTGCTGCTCTCTCAATAATTCTTGATGGCTTTGTTCTTTAAAACTAGCTCTCTGTTCCCAAGATGAAGTCCATCACAGACTAGTGAGAGGTAATATCACCGCTTTGATGGAGATTGCATCCATTCTCTGCAGGAAATTTGCCATCTTGTTTGCTTTCCCTTGCAAGGTTGTAGCAGAAAAAAAAGGGACTAAAAGGTTCCAATTACTCACCTGCTATTTCCCTCCTGTTACTCACAAGACTATTTTGACTTTGTGCTACTTCTACTGATTTGTTTATTACCCACAGTTCACAGCTGTAATCACAGTCTGTATTCTGAGTGACCTTTCTCAAAGGCTGTTATGATATTTAACACCTTGCTTCAGGTGTGTGACACCCTACTTGAAAACCTACATTGCCTCAACTTGTTCAACAAGGGGTACTTTGATAGGGCATGCAAGTCAGCACTTTTCCCGTGTGTGTCTTAAGAGATGAGGTAGGAGACCCTCAGGCACAGACCTCATTGCCTTAATGATGTTTTAAGACTTGGGTCATAAGATCCTGCTGGAGTTGGACTTGTCAGATGATGCCCAGAAGGTCTGAAGTGGATGCATTAGCCTAGCTGGGCACATCCCCTAGTAGTTCTGTGTGCATCCTGTAGGTTTGCTCTGCCTGTTCCTGAGCACCTGTGCCTGATTTTTTTTCTATCATTTGAACTCTCTCCTTTTGGGAAATGGCAGAACATGGTGGAGAAATGGAAGGGCAGATCTAGATATATAGCCTGGAAACCCTATTTCCTTTTCTCCCCCAGAATTTGTTGCTTGAAAGTTGAAATCATGTTCCTCATCACCTGTAAAGCATTCCCTGTTCACAGGTCACATCTGGAAACAGACTTCTCCACCATCAGTGCTGTCCATTCCTGTCCTGGACCAATTGTGTAGACATGGGAAAGTAGTTCAGTTTCTGTGTCTGCTCATCTCTTGATCTCTTCACCCTCATCTGCCCCCACCCCTGCCTCTCTCTCTGTCTCTCTCTCAAAAAAATCAAGAGCTACTTTGATTATGGTCACTGGCATTGTGCGAAATACCTGTAGCCAACATTTTTAAACTGCATCTTTAACGTAAGGAGATCTTTAATACTGAGACTTGCTTCATTCGTCATTGGTTATGTGTAATGGCTGTGAAAGGCAGGAGAAGAGCGGGACAGGTCGCTGTGGGCAGAAGCCCACAGTAGTTATCTGGGCTTCCCCTGCAGGTGGGTAACAGAGCGGTGGTGGCTTCCGAGCTATAGTAAATGTCTGAAATAGATTTATGAAACCATAATGCCTTTACTGGGCTTTGGATTAAAAGGCAGTTCATACATGAGCTTCCGTCAAAATGTTTGCAGGCTGTTACAAAAATATTTGACAACCAGTGTGGTAAAGGTGTTCTTTAAATGTAATATATTTAAACATTTACTACAAATATTTACAGCATCTACAGTATCTAGAGCCTTTGTCTTTTGTGCACTTGATGTTAACAGCACTCCTTGTTTGCTACCAGTGGAAAACCAGACATAAAATGATTGATTGACTCAGAGGAAAATTAGTAAAAGCTTCTGAGTCATTTAGAAATCTAAGTCAAAAGTGACTTAAGCAGTGAAAAATAAGACTTCAACTAGGCAATTAGGGGAAAAAAAAAAAACGAACTCAGGTCTTTCTCAACAGTTTCTATCTATAATAAAGAACAAGTTGTACATCTTGTGAGGTTTTGTACCTTGTTCTCCTCAAGATTCAGTGACTGATGAAGACTTTTAGTTACTGGAAATTAGTGACATTCTACAGCATTTGAGGCCCTGCTGCCTGGGTCAGCTTAGCTGAAAATACATACCCTGGCAGTATGTGCTTACCTGAACAGGTATCATCGTTCCACTTGAAGAACCTTGATTTTCCTGAGGTTTCCCTCTCTCTCTCTTCCTCACACAGTGCTCTTTAAGAAGGGCACATGTTTCCCCTTGCTCTGCCTTAAGCCTTATTAGCTCTGAAACCATTTTGCTGAAGTTCAATTTAATGAGATGAAGCTTCAGAAGAAACACTGGTTTGGCTTCTGTATATCAGCCAGAGAAGTTTGCTTTAAAACAGCTGGCAGGCTGCAGGGGAAAGGCAATGATGTGCAGCGTTGACTGTCAGCAGGGGATAACTTGCCTGAAAAGACAAAAACCTTAATGCCTGGGAAAATGACAGTTCATCTGATTGCTCTGTAATCTCTTTTCAGCACTGGTTGACAGAGCTGGAGATCTTTGCTATGATATTCGCAGCTGCCATCCATGACTATGAACACACTGGAACCACCAACAACTTTCACATCCAAACACGGTGAGGCCACTGTAAATCATGATGAAAGGTTGGGAAGTGGAAGGGGAAACCTGTGGAGAATAACAGCACAGCTGCCCAGAAAATTGCAGGAGCTTTTGTTTTCAAGTGTTACAGGAGGAAAGTTCACTTGCTTAGGTTGCATTTAATTTTCTCTTGCTCAGCCCTGTACAATGGAATGCCATGTATTCTAGCTTCCTGAGCATTGTTTCATACTAATAATCAGGGAAAAGGAAGGTCCCAAAACATTTCTGCGTAAGGTTGCTAAACCAAATTGCTGTATGGAGTGATATATTTTGATAAAGGTGTAGTTTGTGAAGAGATATTATAATTCAACTGTTTTTTCTCTTTGTTGAATTTGAAGAATCAAACATTAACTGCAAAAATCAAGAATACAATAGTATCTGTATTCATCAGTGAACTACACATGTTATTTTTACTTGAGTGGAAAACAATACCTGGAGCAAAGGGATAGGTTTGCCGTAACCTGGTCAGAGATACCATTCTTTAAAGCTTTGTAAACTGCTAGACAATAATTAGCTGATCCCAAACCAGACTGGAACAGTGTATTTTTTAAACTCGTAATCTTCTATAAGGCTTTTGGTTTGGTGCAAGAGAGAAGGAGAAGATGAATATGGCAGCAAAATTCAGAAGTGTGCAAAGATTGTGAAGTATCTAGTTGCAGTGATAGTTGGGCATCTAATGTCTGCCTATGATTTTGACAATGTGAGTGTCCTGGTAGCAATGACAGAATGTCCAGATGTCCTCGACTGACACTGTACACTTGGGCATTTCTAAGATGCATTGCATCTTACCCTGAATTAGATGTCTGGAGCATGTTAGCTGAATCATGCTGTGTATCACAGATATATAAAGGTTTCTAGGATAAATCACACATATGCTCAGGAAAGCTTGGGAACATAGAAGTTTGTGTCTCTGTTCTGGACTGAGCCACACCACTTCTTACAGCTTCAAGCATGCAAGAATTAGGGATCTGCTGTATTTCCCAGATACTTACAGAAGAATTCAAGAAAGGACAGTGGTAATTTAATCTCTGTAACACTGCTGACGCGGAAGTCCCGGACACAATTTAACACTGAACATTAGAGGGTGTGAACTGTCAGGGGAGAAAAGTAGACACTGCTCTCTGGGAAGCAGAACTGAGTGGGGACTGTAACAAAATATACTCACCCTCTGTTGCTGTTAACTTCCAGCAAGACCTCTGTCTTCAGACTGGTTTAGCCTTTCATCAATCTCAAACCGGTGCCCTGGAACTTAAAATAAGACATGAAGTACCTCTGGTCTTACTCTATCCCACGGGCAATTGACTTCCTGGACAGCATAGCTGAAAGCAGTTCAATTCTATCTTGCTTACAGCCAGTTTGCTGTTCTGGAAACAATATTAAGACACATCTTGCAGTTCTTTCCTTGGGTATAGTCAGGCTTTCATATGAGACCAACACACACAAGAGCTGGAAAAGAGCTTCATGATTCAGCTCTAAATTTACGTCTCTCACCCAGATCTCAGCAATTTTTTTGTGAGTATGGAACAAAGAGACCAGGTGAGTCTCAGCTGATGAAACAGGCTTCGCAGGGAATTTGGCTCTTTAGTTTTCTTTTACTGCATAACAACAATGAACAAAGTATTACAAGTGCTCTTAAAATGCTTCTATCTGTGCCACAGAACTAATCTTTGTAGCTGATCAGAGGAAGACCTCTGAATGTGAGGCTCTTTAAGCAGGGAAGAAACTTAACCTTTCCTGTGTTTTCTTTTAAATGCCAGGTCAGACTCAGCCATTCTATATAATGACCGGTCTGTGCTTGAAAATCACCACGTTAGTGCTGCGTATCGCCTTTTGCAAGATGATGAAGAGATGAATATTTTATCTAATCTTTCAAAGGACGACTGGAGGTAAAAATGATGTGGTGGCTGCCTAGGAACATTGCAGCATCACCCCAGACTGTTATTATCTTGTTTGAATGGCGGTATGCATTGTTGTATATTACACATTAGTATTTCTATTGCTACAAGAAAAAGGGCTTTAAAAGGTGTGCGTCTTGCTTATTTCTGCTTTTGTTTTTTATCTCAGGTAGTGAGACTAGACTTGGTAACAGTGGACTGTAATACACAAATTGACTCACATCTAATTTCTGAGTTGCACAGAGGCACCCTTTGTGCACGCTCATTTGCAATGGACCGCAGAGCTAGCCTGCTGTCCGTTCATCCTAAAGCATAAACATCACCTTTGTCTACCTAGCCTAGAAATTATAAATGGGACTTGATGCAAAAAAGAATCCATCCCGAGGAGCATAAATCAGTGTACTATATATGCCAAGGTGATGTAAGAAGCTGTAATTTAAAATAAGCTTCATGCAACATATGATTTAGGTACCAAAATCGGTCCATGGTTTGCTTTCTAATAGCAGACAGATCAAATGGATGAGGGCTTTTTATGGGGTTTTTTGAACTCCAAGGGGTGGTGCTTTAAAAATAGCCCAGTGTGCTAGACAGGAAGAATCCTGCTCCATGGTCTTTCTCATAGGAGGGGAAGCAACTTGTGGGCTCTTACGTGATGCACAGTGCCTCCAGCATATGCTTAAATGTGGTATGGTGCTGAGCAGCCAGTTCATCGTATTTTAATATAAATGTGGGGAAAAAAGCCCTTCTCCCGGGCCTGGCTTCTAGCCGGCTGGTCAGTGAAGGCTCTGCTTGCTAATCTGTTTAGCCTGAATTTCCTATTTATTTCAACTCGTGGACAGGACTGCGATCCTATAGCTGAACAGCAGAAATAAACTCAAGAACTTATGTGGTTGATTGCAATCAATGTGAGTGTTGTGGAGGAGTGGCCTGAGAAATTCTATCCCCAAATATAGAAAATAGTCTCATGGTGGGCAGCAAGCAGGAACTTAAAAAAAATAAAAACATAAAAAAAAATCTGCATATCTGCATTGAGGTGTTAAAAATCTAACTTATTTTTTTAGCTACAGCTGGTAATGCCTTGTCAAATATTGGCAGCAAATTACTGCTTCCTTTTATGTTGGCGGGGGAAATGCAAGGAACTAGCTGACTAGAAACAGTGGTCTTGGAGCCACTGTACAAGGAACAGTGGAGTAGCTAGTTGAGTGCACTTCATTGCATAGATACCGTCTTTAGGAAAATGGCTGGCTTTTGCCACTGAAAACTGTTTTTGCTTGAATCGAAGTTAGCTTCAGGTATTTCTCACTGATTCTTTAGTGGTAACATGTGGGTCCTGTTGAGGCAATGTGCTTAGAATCAAAGTTTCAAAGACTAACCCATCTCCCTAAGAAATACTGTAAGTGCCTGAACAAAGCTATTGAGTGGTTTGGATTGCTTATTTGTTCTCTCTCAAGTTGGGCTTCATTATTTTGTAGCTGCTGACCAAGCAGCAGCTGCAGAATAAAGGCCATTATCTGGATGTGCTCGAATGTTGTGATTTTTGTGTGCTTTTGCTTTTGACTGCCAGTTTGAAATCCCGTAGGCAAACATTTGGGAAGCACTGGAAACATCAGCTGTCTTCATCAGGATCTGCGCTGTTGAAAAAAAAACCATGAATTCCAGAGTTTCACAGACTGGCACTCAAAACCAGGACCCTCAGTTTTGAAGGATGCTTTGGGAAACTATTAAAGGGTGTCCAAATTTAACATTATTTTTGTAGACATACCTGATAAATCTCTCTCAGCAAAAGGCCCAAGTGATGGTTTTTGGAAAGCAAATTCTTAAGTGCTTGTCTGAGATGAGCTGTCACTCCTTTTTTTCACATTACTAGTAAGAGAAAATCTGATGGTCAGTGGATTTTGCAGACCTAGGTGTCTCTGTGGATCTTCTCACTTTTGTGATATTCAGTCACCTAGTTAGGGAATACCTTTTCAGGAAAGAAATGTAGAAAATTAGGGCTACATTCCACTGTTGAAAAATAAATGAGCACAGGTACAATGAGCACAGGAAGCTACAATGAAAGAGGAAAGAGTTGAATGCTTACTACTACTTAAACTACGTGTTTTTCTCCATTTAAAAAACCCCTTTTGCTTATGAAATATTTGAAAATCAGTTGAGTTGCCTCGTTTCATGAATCCAATTTGTGCAAGTCATCAAATAAATGAAGAAACTGTAACAAAACCAGATCACAGTGAATTAAGAAAATAAACTGCAAAGTGCACAGATACTTTACAAGATACTGTTATAAATGTATTTTCTGGCACTGTATTTCATTGTTAATAATTTCCATACAATTTATTGAAACAGAGTATGTTTAGTGCAAGCCCTTTATCATCAAGTACAGGATGAAAAAAGCATCTGGAAAATGTTTGGCTCCTTAACTCTGTACTGGAATACAGCTTTGTGAAGTAACCTTTAATGCAGTACTGACTCTGTCAGTAAAGCTGCTTGGGGTCTTGTCCCTCAAATAATTCTGACCCTCCTTGTTGATCAGAGTTAGTCCTTTTGAGACTGCACTGAGAAACCGTGAAATTTTATTTTTGATGAAACACAACTTTGGCCAGAATGTGTGTGGTTGCATAATCACACCCTTTTCTTGTATAAGTTTGTTACTCTGCATTCAGGATGGGCACATGAGTATTCTTGAGTGTTATGCCTTCAGTGAGAATCAGCCATTGAAAATGTTTCCTTGAATGTAGCATTTTTCCTATTCATTTCTATGAGAATAAAGTACTGAGACTTGAATGGGACAAAATGAGCAAAATAGCTCACTTCAGGAGATGTTCCTGTTGGTTCCTAGCATAGGGATTAAGTGATCTAAAATGGCCTTTTTCCTCTCCCTTTCCCATGAGTGCAAGGGGATGCAAGGATACAGCTCTAAGGTGGACACTGATGTGGAGCAATGACACATCCAACAAAATATCCTGCAAAATTATGTCATGTTCTCTGAGGCAAGAAGGGTAAAAACATGAAGTAATTATTCAAAAGAGTAAATTAAGGTATTTGCCAGATGGATCAATGCAAGGCTTGGAAGTCTTTAGCTGTAAAGTCAGCCCAAGTCTCTCTCAGCAATCACTAGTAAAGATACTGTAAAACTGTGCTTGCTCATGAGGCTGTGCCAGATACCATGTTTACACATGAATCATCTGCAGGACATCAGTTAGAAAACAGAAAATCACAGCTGTGATATTGGCCACAGGATGAGTTATTATTCAGCATATGACAGGAATAAACCAAGAAATTCACTTCAGGGTTTCCTCTTCTCCAGTTACTTTCCTGACAACCTGCTCTCTCCACCTAATTGTTCCTTTCCCTAATTCTGCAGGGGTTATTAAAAGGCATGGGCAAATTATCTGAGAATTTATTTTCATATTTTGGAACTTGTAACTTTTTCTCAGTGGTAGGTTGTAGGTGTGAGAATGTGAAGTCTTCCTGGTTTCTGGCCTTGGGGAAATGGATATTCTACCATGAGAGAAAACATCTGGAAGTGTAATGAATAATATTAAACTTAGTCAGCCAAGCAGCACAGCCATGTCTATAAAAAACCTGTGAATCCACAAGGGATCTTCAGTTGAGGGGACCTGCAAGAAAACCCATTCAGAAGCTGGAACCGAGAAATAATATTCTCTGCAGCAACTAGTTTCATGTGACTTTATTTTTGTTGCCACAGACAGTGATCTAAAAGAGGGTGAACAAGAAACCCAAGCACAGTTTTCCGCTCTGCCACAGATCTCCTGGGTGATTCTGCCAACACACTTTTGTGGGAATTCATTTCCCCTAGTGTGAAGAAGCAAACTATCTAAGCTTTCTTCTTACTTAAGGGAGCAAGGCAGTACCTCCAAAGGACAATTCATTCCGCTTACATGGAGCTGTGGAGATGCTGATCTCCATCCAGTGTCTGCAGCAAAACCGGCTGACCTGGCTTACATAGAAACTTACAGACAGCAGAAGTCTGACAACAAGGACAGGAATGGATGGACGGCTTGAATGAAAATACTTAGCGCACAATATGTTCCCACAGTGGTTGTCAAGACAAACAACAGAAATCGTTTTGAAGATGGACCAGAGCAATTGAAGGCAGACAGATTCCAGAGTGGTGATCAGACATTGCGTTTTGGGTTCAGCCGGCAGCTCAGAAAGCGGCCGGCCTGCTCCGTGGGGAGAACAAATGGTAGGGAAGGCTCAGTGTGTACAGGATACATTTGTATGTCATGCTCTGCCTCTTCTTACTCCTGTATGTCTCAAGACCTGATCCAGGCTTCCTGATTCTGACTGGAGTTGTGCCAGTAGCTCCTGATTGTGTCTGACGAAAAGAGGAGTTAGGTCAGGGTTGCAGCTGGTACAGGTGCATACTCAAATCCTCCCGTGAGATCCTAAACTGGTCACTGCCACTTTCAGGGCCATTAGTTAATGAAAGTCAGCAAGAGTAACACAGTGCTGAGTGATGGGAATTGCATTGCAGTGGTGAGCAAGTGGATCCCCTTTTTCTCCTGAAACCCTTGAAGAAGGGCAGTTTTCACTTGGGGCTGGCCTGCTCCGAGAAGTGGCTGGATGGCAGCAGCTGCCCAAGTGCAGCAGCCCTCCTGCCTGTGCATGTTCAGAGCTGCCTTTCACACCTTGCTGCTTCTCAGTCTGTTAGCAATTTAGCTGCAGCTCATCTGTGAATGAACGAGTGCTGTTTCATTCTAGCCCGCATTGCCACCGTGCTGCATGGCGTTTCATCTTCTGCTTGTGAGCGCAATCAAGCTAGGCAAGGGTTAAAACAGAGATTGCTGGAAGGACACGAGAATACAGGAGTAAGCAATGCAATAGTTTGGATGGTTTTGCTCTAAGAGGGAGAGAGATGATGTAGCAGATAAAAAGAAAAAAAAAACAACCCCAACAACAACAAAATAAACCCGCTAAAGCAAAGCAAAGCAAAGCAAAGCAGAGAGCCCCAAGTGGTTTTACTTCCA